ATATGGCAAACATTCAGTGCCAATTTTTGACATACAACATATACAGACATAGACATAGACAGAGGCTATTTAACTTTTTCTGGCCGCCAGGGGAGCTGTTGCTTTCATCGTCCATGTGCGACACTGATGAAGTACTTCCACATTCCCCGCATGCTTTTTATTTATTTATTTATTTGGTAGTTTTGTATACCGGTCTTCTCACCTCCATTCGAGGGTCTCGGGCTGGTTTCCAACATCAATATTACAGATCGTCATTAAAACATCATATTTCTAAATCACACTAAAACATTAAAACATTGAAACAATTAAAATGGCAAAAATACAATCATATGATTACAGTGGTCAGTCGTCATCAAAGTCATTATTCGTTGTCATCCATCCATATCACAGGATCATGGCTCATTCGTTGAATGCCAATCCCCAAAGCCAGGTTTTCACCTGCTTCCTGAATGTTAAGATCGAAGGGGTAGTTCTGATCTCCAGTGGAAGGGAGTTCCAGAGTTGAGGGGCCACGACCGGAGAAGGCCCTGTCTCTCATCCCCACCAGCCGCGCCTGTGAGGCCAGTGGGATCGAGAGCAGGGCACCTCCAGACGATCTTAGTAATCTTGATGGCTCATAGGGGAGTGCTGGAGTGCTTGCTGGAGTCTTTTTTTATGGTCTCATAAATTAGTTAATTTAGCCTCCCCACACTTTTAAGGTGGTACCTAATTTTCCTACTTGACAGATGCAACTGTCTTTCGGGTTGCAAAGGTCGACAACAGGCTACACAATTGGTTGGAAACCCACTCCAACTCGGGCTGGCTTCAAACTCATGACCTTTTGATTAGAGTGATCTTACTGCAGCTGACACTCAGCCAGCTGCGCCACAATCCCGGTAGAATAATAAATGACTTATTGTGTATTTACTTCCTTCACATTATTTCTAAAACTATGCAGCAGGTAAATTTTCCCGATTCAAACTGCATTGCACTATTTGCAGACACGATGTTGGAGCACCAAATGTGATTTGCCCTTTGAGAGGGAAGGCTTTCTACAACCCCCTGTCACTTGTATTGAGGGCATAAGGATATTGTCACTCTTTAAAATGCATATCTATAGCAAGTGTCAACATACACATCAACGTTGAGTCTGATTGAAAAGTCCCAGATTTTGTTCCTGTTCTTTCTGATTTCATACCAGGTAAAAATAAACTGATCTGCCAAGTTGGTATACAAAGCCTCTTGATTTGACTGAGCACTGATAGAAAATATCCTGGGACACTCAAAAAATGGGCGTGGGGCTCCAAAATTGGAACAAACAAGAACAAAATCTGGGACTTGTGGTATTTTTAATCCGCTTGCATGTTGTTGCGTGTTGTGACTTAAGGTGTTTGTGCAGAACTGCTAATTAAGAAATTTAGAGAATGAGAGGCCTAGCACTTCAATTTCTCTTTTAAAAAATGTTTTCTGTATCTCTATAAAGTTGCGTAGCCACTGTAGGAAATTAGAGCTCAGTTGCTCAATGCTCCCAAAATGTTTTCAATGACAACTGCTCTAATCGCTGATGGAAGATGGAAATTTTGCAGATGGAATTTTTTGAAAACATTGGGAAGGCACTAAACCTCCTCTGCTTGCACTGAATGGTAGATGAATCTTGTTCGTGACCTTAGGCATGACAGGATTCCTTGCCCAAAGGTTTATTATTTCTGCTGGATGGACTAGGAAAAGATTCGACAAAGAAGAGGACAAAGTAGGGATGAAGGCACAGATTTTTGGAAAATGGAAAGCTCCATGATTTTTTGGAGATTTTGTGATCTTTGGAAAGATCACAAAATCTTTGGGCTGTTGAAGGTTTTTTCGGGCTTTTTATTTGTCGTGTCAGAACAACCAGTCAAATTATATTACATTTCTAACAGAACAAAACAAACAAACAGACAAAATACAACATTTGTGAGTTTGGTAGTTGATTAAATGTCCTTTGACCACTTGGAGTGCTTCTGGTGTTGCTGTGAGAAGGTGCATTGTGCATGTGGCACGGCTCAGGTTGCATTGCAGCAGGTGGTCAGTGGTTTTGCTTCTGGTGTTGCTGCAAGAAGGTCCTCCATGGTGCACATGGCAGGGCTCAGGTTGCATTGCAGCAGGTGGTCAGTGGTTTGCTCTTCTCCACACTCGCATGTCATGGATTCCACTTGGTAGCCCCATTTCTGAAGGTTGGCTCTGCATCTCGTGGTGCCAGAGCGCAGTCTGTTCAGTGCCTTCCAAGTCGCCCAGTCCTCTGTATGCCCAGGGAGGAGTCTCTCATTTGGTATCAGCCATTGGTTGAGGTTCTGGGTTTGAGCCTGCCACTTTTGGACTCTCGCTTGCTGAGGTGTTCCAGCGAGTGTCTCTCTAGATCTTAGAAAACTATTTCTAGATTTAAGTCGTTGACGTGCTGGCTGATACCCAAACAAGGGATGAGCTGGAGATGTCTCTGCCTTGGTCCTTTCACTATTGGCTGCTCCTTCCCGGCGGATGTCAGGTGGTGCAATACCGGCTAAGCAGTGTAATTTCTCCAGTGGTGTGGGGCGCAGGCACCCCGTGTTAATGCGGCATGTCTCGTTAAGAGCCACATCCACTGTTTTAGTGTGGTGAGATGTGTTCCACACTGGGCATGCATACTCAGCAGCAGAGTAGCATAGCGCAAGGGCAGATGTCTTCACTGTGTCTGGTTGTGATCCCCAGGTTGTGCCAGTCAGCTTTCGTATGATATTGTTTCTAGCACCCACTTTTTGCTTGATGTTCAGGCAGTGCTTCTTGTAGGTCAGAGCACGGCCCAGAGTGACTCCCAGGTATTTGGGTGCGCTGCAATGCTCCAGTGGGATTCCTTCCCAGGTGATCTTCAGAGCTCGGGATGCTTCTCTGTTCTTGAGATGAAAGGCACATGTCTGTGTTTTGGGTGGGTTGGGGATCAGCTGGTTTTCCCTGTAATAGGGAAATGGGGCTATATGGCCATGTTCTAGAGGATATGACTTTGTTAGACTTTGTTAGACTTTATGACTTTGTTAGAAGTCATATCCTTTTGAAAACAATGCCATAACCTCTTGGTAAAAAGCATGACCTGTTAGAGTCATAACCTTTGGGGGGAAATGGCATTCATTCAAGGCAGTTAGGTTTCTCAGCTGTTAAACTGATATACCTAAGTATGTCTTTGAACTGTTAGGGACAAAGATATGCCAATGCACAAACACACACACAAGAGTTTCAAAAGTGTTATTTTTAGTTGCCCCAAAAACACTTACTCTCCCTTAAAATATATTTACCTTTAAATCAAAACAAAAAAATAAGCAGACTTCTTTAAAAGTAACATAGTTGATTTGCTCACAAACTTCATGAATTCAGCATACAGAAGAAGAAGAAGAACTTTATTTTTCTACCCCGCCTCCATCTCCCCGAAGGGACTTGGGGCGGCTTACATGGGGCCAAGCCCAAAGCAACATACAATTAAAAACAGAACAATGACATATAAAATAGCATTTTAAAAAGCATAAAAGGTAATAAACAAACATCAAAAGCAACAACAGACCCATTTTTGGAGTGGGGGGAAAGGGGGCCACTATGCGAAACTGGCTAAAGGATAAGGTGGTCAATAGGGTGGATAGAAACATATAGTAGCATAGGAAATAGCATGGAAATAGAGCAATTAAACAGGTTTAATTCAGCTTAACTTTAAAATGTAGTAATGTAATATAGAAATTCGAAATCAGGTCATGATTCAGATCATGATTCAGGACATCTGTCACAGGAGTCATCAGTCGAATGCACAATGAAACATCTACATCTTTAATTCCTTACGGAATGTGGGTAGGGAAAGTGCTAGCCTAATCTCCCTGGGGAGGGAGTTCCAGAGGCGAGGGGCCACCACCGAGGATGCCCTTTCTCTCATCCCCACCAACTGCGCCTGAGATGGGCAGGAGCGAGAGAAGAGCTTAGGGACTGTGCAGGCTCGTAGGGGGAGGATGCGGTCATGAAGGTACTTTGCTAGTCAATCCAGTTACAAATAGGATTTGAAGTAGTTTCTCTGTGTAGGAAAACAGAGCATCATTCTTATCATGAACACCTGTCCCTTATATTATCTGTGTTAGAAATCGCAACCTTCTCAGCCCTCCACTAGTTATTTGTTATGTACATAATTCAGATTGCTTACCGTATTGTATATGTGTGTATTGGTATGCAATTTTACCTTAACTCTTTTTGTGGGAGGGGCTACAAACTATGTGATCAGGTCTGGGCTTGTTCAGGACTCAGACTCCATTTTAAAACAGTATGTCTTTAGAAGACTGTAGGAACAGATGTTTGCTTTAGATTTCAGTAGGAACTGTTTGATTCAGATGTCAGCAGGAACAGAATGCTTCTTGGCAGGGGGTTGGACTGGATGGCCCATGAGGTCTCTTCCAACTCTTTGATTCTATGATTCTTAGAATTAACAGTCCAAAGTCCAAAGCATCTCTTCTAAGAGTTTAATAGAGTCTCTGTCTAGTCTGAAAGTCCAGTGGAGTGGTCTTTCTGTTCATCATACTGTTCCTACTAAAGACTAAAGCATACATCTGTTTCCACTGAAGTCTGTGAGCATACTGTTCCTGCTGACATCTGAAGCAAACAGTTCTTACTGAAATCTAAAGCAAACATCTGTTCCTACAGTCTTCTAAAGACATACTGTTTTAAAATGGAGTCTGAGCCCTGAACAAGCCCAGACCTGATCACATAGTTTGTAGCCCCTCCCACAAAAAAGAGTTAAGGTAAAATTGCACACCAATACACACATATACAATACGGTAAGCAATCTGAATTATGTACATAACAAATAACTAGTGGAGGGCTGAGAAGGTTGCTATTTCTAACACAGATAATATAAGCGACAGGTGTTCATGCCCAGTTTGCCAGACTGGTAGATTCCAGCCTTTGTGGGGTTTTCTCCTGATTGGAATGGCAGGTGAATTTTCTGGGTTCTTCCTCTGATTGATGCCTTTCTTTCTTTCTTGCAGTGTAAACTGGAGCAGCAGGCCTGCCTGACAAACAAGCAGCTGACCATCAAATGTGAGGGACCATGTCCATGTGCAAGTGACCATAGTCCTACCTCAGCCACAGATGGTAAACAAGGTCAGAAAGAACCATCCTGGAGAATGTCTAGATAACTCTCTCCAATTCCTGCTTCCCACCTCCTCCACAAAAAACTATTTTCTGTTGTGTTAAGTGCAACCTCCAGTGTGTGCAAAAAATAAAACAGGAGTGGTGGGCATGAGAGTATTCCATTGAAACTATCCTTCAGCTTTCTCTGAACCAAACACCACTGATCTTTCTGAGCTGTAAACTCAAGACACATTGGAGGGAATCAAATCCAATTGTTGATAAACTCCTTGCAGCAGTAACACTGTTTATGGTCCCATGCAATACGCATTGCCACTATTTTGCTCGTTCTAACATCTAGCCACATTTAACATCTAGCCATATGGCTACTATCCACTATATCAAGTCAATAGGAAATTGCCCTGGGCCGAGTCTAACAACAAGTAGAGGGAGGAGGAAGTAGAACCATACATTGGAGGTAAAGGCAACTAGATTCCAGTTTTAGCTACTGCTGTGATTGAAATTCAGTGGTTCAATTTTATTTATTTATTTATTTATTTACAGCTTTTATATTCCGCCCTTCTCACTCCGCAGGGGACTCAGGGCGGATTACAGTGTACACATATATGGCAAACATTCAAAGCCAATTTTTGACATACAAACATATACAGACATACACAGAGGCTATTTAACTTTTTCTGGCCGTCAGGGGAACTGTCGCTTTCATCGTCCACCTGCAACGCTGATGAAGCACTTCCGCATTCCCCGCATGCTTCCCCACTGGAATGCTTTGCTGGAGTCTTCTTTATGGCCTCATAAATCAGTTAATTTAGCCTCCCCACACTTTAAGGTGGTACATAATTTTCCTACTTGACAGATGCAACTGTCTTTCGGGTTGCAAAGGTCGACAACAGGCTACACACAATTGGTTGGAAACCCACTCCAACCCGAGCTGGCTTCGAACTCATGACCTTTTGGTCAGAGTGAGCTTAATGCAGCTGACACTCAGCCAGCTGCGCCACAATCCCGGTACAATCAAACAGTAATGTTTCAGAAATCAGTCCAACATGTTCACAGAAGCAGATCGCAGAAGAAAAGTTAAATATGATCCACAATGAAATGTCAGTTTGAAGATGGGGAAAGGGAAGTTAATAGATCTATGCTTTCAGAGCTAACTATGACCCACAGTACAAGAAATGTGAAATCAAAATAACTGGGGCATGTAATCTGACTTCTATATAGAGCTGTCACCTGATCTCAAGAAAGCAGGTTTTCTTTTTCCTGCCTGCTGCTCCCTGCGAGTATAAAAAGACTGAAAGCCAAGTTCTAGAAAAGCCCAATGTGTATTTAAATCCATCCTGCCATAAATATTACACACTCATAATTCATTCAGGTTATGCCAGCGAGTGTATTGTCACATGAGGGGCTTTGTCAAGCAAATACATGCACTGGAAAGATGTGTATCATCATCCATTGTCTAACATATGAATGACCACAAACCCATTCTGATTTGGGTAGCTTCTATGGTTTAAGGGTAATTCATATGAAATTATTTTGTGAAAGGTGAAGTCTGTCTCCCAGTAACAACTCCGAACAGAAGACATCCAAGGATATAGCATAGTTCAGGGCAGCAACTGAAAATGAGAAAAATTTCCAAACAACTTCAAATGGATAAATCCCTTTGGTTGTCGTTTTCCATTCTTAGAGTTTGGAAAACTTGTCTTGTTGGATTTCTGCTCCAGAATGCTCAGCCAGTATAACCAGTGGCTATGCTGACTGGGGGATTTTGGGAGTAGGGGTAGCAAAAAGTATTTTTTCCAAACTCCATGGATCCCCCTAAATTAAGTTCAAGTTGAAGTGTTATGCTAAAGTGACTGTTGCGGGTCCTATATGACAAAGGCACCAAATCCTGTCCAATTGCGGAAGCTAAGCAGGGTCAATCCTTGTTAGTATGGAATCACAGAATCCTAGAGTTGGAAGAGACCTCATGGGCCATCCAGTCCAACCCCTGCAAAGTAGCAGGAAAATTGCATTCTAAGCACCCCCCGACAGATGGCCATCCAGCCTCTGTTTAAAAACCTCCAAAGAAGGAGCCTCTACCACACTCCGGGTCAGAGAGTTCCACTACTGAAAGGCTCTCACAGTCAGGAAGTTCTTCCTAATGTTCAGATGGAATATCCTTTCTTGTAGTTTGAAGCCATTGTTCCGCGTCCTAGTCTCCATAGCAGCGGAAAGCAAGTTCACTCCCTCCTCCCTATGACTTCCTCTAACATATTTATACATGGCTATCATGTCTCCTCTCAGCCTTCTCTTCTTCAGGCTAAACATGCCCACCTCCTTAAGCCGCTCCTCATAGGGTTTGTTCTCCAGACCCTTGATCATTTTAGTTGCCCTCCTCTGGACACATTCCAGCTTGCCAATATCTCCCTTCAATTGTGGTGCCCAGAATTGGACACAATATTCCAGGTGTGGTCTAACCAAGGCAGGATAGAGGGGCAGCATTGCTTCCCTGTATCTAGACACTATGCTCCTATTGATGCAGGCCAAAATCCTATTGGCTTTTTTTGCCGCCGCATCACATTGTTAGCTCATGTTTAACTTTTTGTCCACGAGGACTCCAAGATCTCTTTCACATGTACTGCTCTCGAGCCGCGCGTCCCCCATTTTGTATCTTTGCTTATATAGAAAACCACCATTGACTACCAAGTGATGTAGGCTAGATTTCAGAGGAAGGGAGTGGCAAAATCACCCCAGAGTAAGTACCGTATATTCCGGCATATAAGACGACCCCCAACTTTTCCAGTTAAAATATAAAGTTTGGGATATACTCGTCGAATAAGACTACCCGTCTTCCAATGCACACCAAATAAAAATTTTAAAAGCATCAGATTTAATTTCAATATGGTAATTTTCCTATTACTGTACTTCCTTCTCTGCCTCTCAGATCTCGCACATACGCACCTGCACCACTTCACTGCAGTCTTCAGGAGTGAGATCTGAGAGGCAAAGGAGGAGGTACAATAATAGGATACAAAGGCAAGCCAGACAGGTAAAAGAATTGTGTTTTTCTGGGCCCAGAACCACTATACCTCTTTTCTCCATACCCTGGGCGTGCCGGGCACCTGCACCTTGCTCCGTTTTTCACTTACACCTTCCCAATGAGGTGCCCCTTCACCTCACCATCAGGACTGCATTAAGTCCACGAATCTTGATGAATGGATTTTCTTCTACTGTACTTGTACAGCGTCTCCCTTAATGCTTTCATACAGTCACTGCACACGGCAGGGACGCGGCCACTGCCATTTTTGAGCTCCTCCCACAATATGCAGCAACCACAGATTCTCCAATCCGGATTGGAAGTTTCAGTACCCGCTCTATAAGACGACTCCCGCATATAAGATGACTCCCGTGTATAAGATGACCCCTGACTTTTGAGAAGATTTTCTTGGGTTAAAAAGTAGTCTTATATGCCAGTATTCACTGCCTAAGAAAACTATGGAATTCATGGGATTGGCATAAGTCAATTGGAAACTTGGTGTACACAGGGTGAGTCTTGCACAATCAGGAAGCAAAGTTTTGATGCCTATTTTGCCCAACTGCATTGAAAAAGCCATAAGATGCTTGATAAGAGTGAGATAATTTTCTGTTCATGTGACTGTACTTTGTCTCACCCAGAGTACTCAATGAATAATTTCATATTTGATTACAGAAACATGCACCGGACAAGACTTGGCAGACCTGGGGGATCGCCTACGTGATTGGTTCCAGCTCTTGCATGAGAATGCCAAGCAGAACAGCTCCGGAAGCACAGGGACCAATCCAGTGAATGGTAGGAAAATGGCAGCCATTGATCTAAACTTCAGTGTTGGGTGGAGTAGGTGCTTCTGTATCAATGACATGGTAAAACCACTCTTAGGGTTAAAAGAGCTATCCATGGTACTGATCCCTTTCCACTAAAGAGGTCCAGCATCTTCAATAGCTTCTATAAAGTTTGGACTAAAACCTGGAGGCAGTTTGCTACTCCCATTGACATGGGAGCCACCACCTCTGATTGCTAAACCTATCGATATATATTCCACATTATGATAGAAATATGCCATTTTGCTGTGTAAGCCCTACAAACTATCTTTTCATGGCCATTTCCCTCAACATCTGTTCAGAGGAATGGACTAGAGCTTTAAAGCACTGAAGCCGCCCCAGTGGGGGAGATGGTGGTGAGGTATAAATAAAGTTTATTATATTATTATAATTCTTTTTAAAATCTATTTTTATTAAACACTCCAGAAGAGACTATTATTTATTTATTTATTTATTTATTTGCAGTATTTATATTCTGCCCTTCACACCCCACAGGGGACTCAGGGCGGATTACAGTGTACACATATATGGCAAACATTCAATGCCAATTTTGACATACAACGTATACAGACATACACAGAGGCTATTTAACTTTTTCTGGCCGCCAGAGGAGCTGTTGCTTTCATCGTCCATCTGCGACACCGATGAAGTACTTCCGCATACCCCGCATGCTTTTTTGCTGGAGTGCTTTGCTGGAGTCTTTTTTATGGCCTCATAAATTAGTTAATTTAGCCTCCCCACACTAGGTGGTACCTAATTTTCCTACTTGACAGATGCAACTGTCTTTCGGGTTGCAAAGGTCGACAACAGGCTACACAATTGGTTGGAAACCCACTCCAACCCAGGCTGGCTTCGAACTCATGACCTTATGGTCAGAGTGATCTTAATGCAGCTGGCACTCAGCCAGCTGCACCACAATCCCGGTGCACAAAAAGAGGTGGAACAATAGGGTAAAAAGAAAAGTAGGAAAAGTAAGTATAGAATATACATGGAAAGAAGTGGAACAATGTGGTAAAGAAAAGAAAGTAGGAAAAATATGTGTATAGATCTTTCCAACACTACTACTACTGTCCGGAAAAAGAAAGAAAAAATTAAAAAGTAAAAAAAAAAGTCTCTTTGAATTTCCATTCTAAGCATCTGCGATTGTCCATTTCTTAATGATAGATTTTTTATTTAAAAAAATTAAAATGTTATACCGAAGGTCCCTAATTTTCCAATTTCCCTTGCCATATGATAAGTTGGTTTTTATCTCTTTCAGAGTCTTCAAAGAGTTTCCAATTTGTCAATTTTATTGGGGTGCCCGAGATCCTTTTCAATTAAAAAGTTAATGGGTTGTTGTAGGTTTTTTTGGGCTATATGGCCATGTTCTAGAGGCAATTCTCCTGACGTTTCACCTGCATCTATGGCAAGCATCCTCAGGGGTAGTAGACTGCCCAGAGGGGAGTCTCTCATTTGGTGTCAGCCATTGATTGAGGTTCAGGGTTTGAGCCTGCCACTTTTGGACTCTCGCTTGCTGAGGTGTTTCAGCGAGTGTCTCTGTAGATCTTAAAAAACTATGTCTTGATTTAAGTCGTTGACGTGCTTTAATCAAGGGAATGAGCTGGATAGGTCACTGCCTTGGTCCTTTCACTATTGGCTGCTGCTTCCCGACGGATGTCAGGTGGTGCAATACCAGCTAAACAGTGTAATTTCTCCAGTGGTGTAGGGCGCAGGCACCCCGTGATAATGCGGCATGTTTCATTAAGAGCCACATCTACTGTTTTAGCATGGTGAGATGTGATCCACACTGGGCATCTGTACTCAGCAGCAGAGTAGCATAGCGCAAGGTCAGATGTCTTCACTGTGTCTGGTTGTGATCCCCAGGTTGTGCCAGTCAGCTTTCGTATGATATTGTTTCTAGCACCCACTTTTTGCTTGATGTTCAGGCAGTATTTCTAGCGCCCACTTGATGAAGATAGAGAATAAAGTTGGGGCGATAACACATCCCTGTTTGACACCTGATTCCACCTTAAATGGGTTACTTTGGGAGCCACTGCTGTCCAAGACTGTTGCCATCATGTCATCATGGAGGAGCCGCAGGGTGTTCATATATGTAAATAATATATCGTTGTTTAAGTCCAGGGTGAATTCCGAATCTGTAATGCCTAATAAGTAATATTCCGGTTTTCTTGGAAAAGTCCTTTTAAGTATTTTTTGTAATTAAAGATGTATCATTTTCCAGTACTTTGTGGCCTCTTTGCAGGCACTGAATTCTTAGTAAAGTGGGCCCTTGATATTCACTGGAATGTCATCCCATGGCAGAGTAAAATGGTAACCCATAAATAAAATGGCAAAATGAAGGTTTGCTATTTGAATTAAAATATATAAAAGATACAAAATCTGTGGATATAGAGGGCCAACTGTACCTACCCAAATGACAAACCCCTGGCTTCCATGTAAAAGTGGTGTGTAATATAGATGTACTTTTGTAGCCTGGGAAAATTTCCAAAAGAGTGGTTTTCACTTGGTTGTGGCTGCAGTAAAGCAATAGTTGCAGGAAGTCCATGGTGAGTCTGATTTTTCCCCCAATTAAGTCATACACATTTGCTGACTGCCAGTTAGAGGCAATGCGTGGGTCGCCCACTCTGCCATTGCCATGAGAGCACAGCAAGGCCAACATTTTTGCCTGCTTATTAAAAAAAAAAAGCCGCCAGTCGTTGAGCAGAGCTGGCAGATTGGTCCCAAAGCACGTAGGGAGTGTGAGAAGTGCGACCGGCCAGGAAGAAGATTGTTAGCTTAAATGTCAGTGAACAGAAACTGCCAGGACGGATGCTTCTCCCACAGGGATTGCGTTGGATGAAGTCAGCAGCTCTCTCTGCCTTTCTGGCAGCTGCTCTTCAGCCACCCTTGGCTTGTGTTTTTGTCCTTTGGCTTTCATCAGCAGACCAATGAGCCGTGGCCGCTTTCCACCAGCTGCTACAGAGTCCATCTGGAGCCAAGCAGATGGACACATCATCCCACATTGAGCAAAGGCTAGAAGGGGAAGCCGGAGTAGTAGAGGAAATGCCCTGGCTCCAATTCCCTCAGTGGCATCTGGTTTTCCTGGAAGGAAACTTTGGGGATACTTTGAGGAATGAACTCAGAGTGGAAATCAACATCTTTGGAATAGACTGCCTCTGTGTTCTTCTTCCAGAGGTATAGAGTCATCCATTCACATTTACAGTTTTGGCTTCGTGGATTTGATCACACTATGTAACATGATTTTTGTTCAATGTATTGTCGAAGGCTTTCATGGCCGGAATCACTGGGTTGTTGTAGATATTTTCGGGCTATATGGCCATGGTCTAGAGGCATTCACTCCTGACGTTTTGCCTGCATCTATGGCAAGGATCCTCAGAGGTAGTGAGGTCTGTTGGAACTAGGAAAAAGGGTTTATATATCTGAGGAATGACCAGGGTGAGATAAAGGACTCTTGTCTGCTGGAGCTAGGTGTGAATGTTTCAACTGACCACCTTGATTAGCATATAATGGCCTGAGAGTGCCTCGAGCAAACTTTTGTTGAGAGGTGATTAGATGTCCTTGTTTGTTTCCTCTCTGTTGTTGTGCTGTTGTAATTTTAGACTTTTTTAATACTGGTAGCCAGATTTTGTTCATTTTCATGGTTTCCTCCTTTTAATTGAAATTGTCCACATGCTTGTGTATTTCAGTGGCTTCTCTGTGTAGTCTGACATGGTGGTTGTGAGAGTGGTCCAGCATTTCTGTGTTCTCAAATACAGTGCTGTGTCCAGGTTGGTTCATCAGGTGCTCTGCTATGGCTGATTTCTCTGGTTGAAGTAGTCTGCAGTGCCTTTCAAGTTCCTTGATTCGTGTTTGGGCAATGCTGCGTTTGGTGGTCTAACGTGCATAGTACACGGTAGACTCCTGCAGAAGTGAGAGGATCCCTCTTGTCCTTTGCTGAACGTAGCATTTGTTGGATTTTCTTGGTGGGTCTGTAGATAGTTTGTATGTTGTGTTTCCTCATCAGCTTCCCTATGTGGTCAGTGGTTCCCTTGATGTATGGCAAGAACACTTTTCCTCTGGGTGGATCTTCATCTTTATTCTCGTGGCTTGTTCTCGGTCTTGCAGCTCTTCTGATGTCTGAGGTGGAGTATCCATTGGCCTGGAGAGCCCAGTTGACTCCACCCCACTCAGACCCATAGCACCATTAAAGCCTTGGCAGGCCAATGGATACTCCACCTCAGACATCAGAAGAGCTGCAAGATCAAGAACAAGCCACGAGAGTAAAGATCAAAGATCCACCCAGAGGAAAAGTGTTCTTGCCATACATCAAGGGAACCACTGATCGCATAGGGAAGCTGATGAGGAAACACAACATACAAACTATCTACAGACCCACCAAGAAAATCCAACAAATGCTACGTTCAGCAAAGGACACGAGGGATTCATTCACTTCTCTAGAAGTCTACTGTATACCATGCAGCTGTGGACAAGGCTACATAGGGACCACCAAACGCAGCATTGCCCAAACACGAATCAAGGAACATGAAAGGCACTGCAGACTACTTCAGCCAGAGAAGTCAGCCATAGCAGAGCTCCTGATGAACCAACCTGGACACAACATATTATTTGAAAACACAGAAATGCTGGACCACTCCAGCAACCACCATGTCAGATTACACAGAGAAGCCATTGAAATCCATAAGCATGTGGACAATTTCAACAGAAAGGAGGAAACCATGAAAATGAATAAAATCTGACTACCAATATTTAAAAAAACTTTAAAATTATAACAGCAAAACAGCAGAGAGGAAACAATCAGGCAAAAAAACATCACCAGTTCCAGGACTGGGCATACACAGTACAGGCTTTAAATAAATAAAACCTGTGCTCCGAAGGAAAGTAGAATTCATTAAACTTTATAAATTATACAAATTAAACTTTCATGCATTGTATGTGTGTGGGGAGTAGAAAAGCATTGCATGCAATACTAAA